GAAAATGAGAGAAGTTTCCTCCTTCCAGTTGTGCTTCAAACAATGATAACTTTCCCCGAAATCATTTCATGATTCTGTAGAGATCACAGATAAGGTTATCCTTTCCCTGAAGTTTTAAATTCAAATCATTCATGTGGGATGTGATGTCAACCAAAAATGACAACTTTGACAGCCAGGTAGGATCTGACAGAAGTGGATCAGCTCTATCCTTTTCGGTGAGAAAATTACGTTTTTATAAGCTCCGAAGAGAAATAGAAAACAGGACTTTACCGCAGCTGAGCAGCCTCACTGCTGTGTGATAAGGCAAGTCACAGAATTCTTCAAGAAAATCCTGGAACTGGTTGTGATTAAGTGCATGACCCCGAATGAAGTTCACCGCAGAAACGACTGGTTTCAGTACGCAAGAAATATCTAAGTCTTTCCCACAGAGTGCTTGCTGATGTATAATGCAGTGTATAAACAGAGCGCCCGGGAGTTGAAGATCTTCCAACTTAGTTCGTAGGCTATAACCTTCAGTGGAATCAGCTTCGATGTGTTACAGTTGATGGAGGAAAAAACATGGCTGGAGTGAGGAAGGGTCTGGTGGGCAGATTTATATACATGTCAAAAAAATTTTGAAAAATTATTATTTTTCTAAAACTTTTTTGGTAGACTATTCAATGTGTAAATAAACAATTGTTTTTCATTTTCAGATCCTGTTTTCTTCACCCATCGTTATGGCTACTAAAAAAAGAAAGTAAATGCTGAGTGTCGCCTTTTCAATGAAGTATGGGGAGAAAAGTACTTCTTTGTGGAAACAAACAACCAGAAAGCTAGTTACATGATATGCAACGAAAGTGTTGCCGTTTTGAAAGAGTACAATCTTCGGCATTACTATGAAACAAAACATCTGTCAACATATTCGAAGTTTTCTGTAAAGTTGCGTTCTGAGAAATTTGAGTTCCTGAAATGTACTTTGGAATCTCAAAAGAATCTCTTCACGAGAATGTTTGCTGAAAATGAATCTGTCACTCGTACAAGTTACAAAATAGTGCATGAGATGGCAGAGCGAGGAAAACCGTTTACTGACGGCAAGGTCATCAAAGAGTGTATGATGGAAGCAGCAAATAACTTGTGTCCTGAGAAAGCCAATTTGTCCGGAAGTATCAGCCTTTCAGCAAGTTCAGTTGTGCGGAGAACAGAATAACTTTGAGAGAATATGGTATTACAGATACGCGAGAAAGCTAGGAACTTCTTGTGGTATTCTCTGGTGCTGGATGAGTATACTGATCTCTCGAGTACGTCACAACTTCTCGTGTTCATTCGGGGTGTTAATGTGGACTTTCAGATCACAGAAGAGTTGACCTCCGTTTGCAGCATGCACGGAACAACAACTGGAGAAGACATTTTCATAGAAGTGCAGAAAACTTTGCAAGGCCCAGAACAAATAGAGTTCTGAATCACTGATATAAACGATCTTAAGTAATCGTGTTACTTAGTAAGGGGAAACAGGAGTTCAATAAAAGAAATAACTATTTACATAAAAACTTTAAATTAATGTAACAATTTTCTAAACCACTAAAGTTTTGGTTCTGATTGCTTACACATTCTTAGAAAACATAAAGTGTGAGAACTTTAAATCTAATATTTAACAACTCTCCTTTTATGCATAAAATAATTCCAAACGTGTCTCCATCGGTGAAACTTATAATCTTTTGATACACAGACTACTTCGATCCTTTTGGCCCACGTTTATGTTGATATCATGTTTGTCGTTCAAGAAAATTATATAAGCATGTAACCTAATTACGTTTTAAAACACGATGTTCAAAATATTGTGTATCAGATTCAAAGGTTAGAAATGATTTTTAAGACAATCTAATTACGGTACACAGAAAAAACATACTTTTAAAATTACTTGTTGTTATGTATGATTAAAGATGATCGTTATCATTCACTTACATGTTTTGTTTTTAC